AGGATATGGCATTGGTGCAGTCCTCGAGCAACATGATGGTGTGGACTGGCACCCGGTCGAGTACTTCAGCAAGAAAGTGCCCCTCGTGCATTCCATCGACGATGCACGCAAGAAGGAGCTCCTCGCCTTTGTCCACGCGCTCAAGCGGTGGCGGCACTTCCTCCTTGGTCGAAGCCAATTTCGCTGGGTAACGGACAACAATCCGTTGGTCTTCTACAAGACCCAGGTCACCGTCAACAGCACCATCGCTCGATGGATGGCTTTCATCGACCAGTTCGACTTCTTTCCCGATCACATTCCTGGGAAGTCGAACCGTTTTGCGGATGCTCTTTCACGGCGTCCGGATCATTGTACCGCGGTCTACTCAACTTTCGAGATTGACGACGACCTGCGGAACAGCTTCATCCGCGGCTACCAAGCCGACCCCGAATTTCGCGACAAGTACGCGAATTGCTCCTCGCCTAATACGTCTCCTTCTCACTACCGGATCCAGGAGGGGTACTTGCTTGTCCACACGCGGGGGAAGGACCTTCTTTGCGTACCAAGTGATCCTCACTTGCGTACACGGCTTCTTGGCGAGTTCCACGATGCTCCCGCCACTGGACACTTCGGGGTCAATCGCACGATTGGCCGACTTCGCCAACGATTTTGGTGGTCTGGCCTTCTCAGCGACGTCACGCGCTATTGCGAGTCTTGCGAGGTTTGCCGACGCTACAAATCCCGCAACCATCGTCCGTACGGTGAGCTACGACCATTGCCAGTCCCGTTGAGGCGAAGGGAAGCGATTGCCATGGACATTACCGGCCCGTTCCCCAAACACAAGACCGGAGTGGATGGGATTCTCACGGTGGTCGACCGACTCACCAAGTTCGCCATGTTTTTGCCTTGTCGCTATCATGCCAAGGCACCGGAGTTGGCCGAGGTTCTGTACACCGGTTGGATTCGCACCAAGGGTTACCCCAAGGAGATCGTCTGCGACCGCGACACTCGGTTCATGTCCGATTTTTGGTTGGCGCTCATCAARCGATGGGGCTCATCTCTCAAGCCCAGTTCAGCTCGCCACCCTCARACYGATGGCCARACGGAGAGGGCGCATCAGACCGCACAGGTTYTCCTTCGCACTCTCATCTGCCCCGACCAGAAAGACTGGGTTGAGCGACTGCCGGATGTCGAGTTGGCCTACAACTCTTCCATCCACCCGGCTATTGSGATATCGCCCTTCGAGTTCGAGCACGGCTCGCCGGTCACGTCACCGTTGGACACTATCACTCCACGCACGACCGAGAGCGACGACCATCTTCTTTTCTTCTGTCGGATGCAAGAGCTTCTTGTCAAGGCACGCGACCAGATGGCTAAGACACAGCAGCGCATGAGCCAGCAGGCAAATCGCCAGCGTCTCCCTTGTCCATTCCGCGTCGGGGACCTCGTCTGGGTTTCCGCCGCGGAATTCAGCCTTGAACAAGACATCTCTCGCAAGCTCCTTCCGAAATGGATGGGACCTTGGGCCGATCATAGAGCCCGCTGGGGACGCACCCGAAGGACCTTCCTTCACGATTCAGGTGCCTAGCCACATGCCCGTCTACCCAGTCTTTCATTGCTCCAAATTGGCTCTCTACACGCATGCGGAGCATGATGATTTTCCCGGAAGACGTACACAGGACCCTCCTTCCATGGATGGTTTTCAGGAGGTCGGCGACATCATCTCCCAGCGACGCTTTGGCAACAAGCCAACTGAGTATTTGGTGCATTTTGCATACTACACCCACCGAGCTGACCGTTGGTTAACCCGTGCGGAACTTCAAGCGACAGCTCCAGACGTTCTCGCACGCTATGAGCGCAAGATGCAAGGCAAGCCGGTTTCCTCGGCTCCCCGCCACGCCCGC